GGGATTTACAGATGCTGACAGTACTTGGGAACCTGAAGAAAATTTTCATTGTCCAGAGTTAATTGAAGCATTTCTTAATTCTCAAAAAGCTGGTAAAGAAAAATATGGTACAAAAAGAAAACCTGTATCTGACAGTGAATCAGATGACAGCAAATCAAAGAAGAGAAGAGATGCTGCTGATAGACAAGAGGCTTTGCCAGAGGTCTTGATCCTGAAGGAATAATTGGTGCCACAGACATCAGTGGAAAATTAATGTTTCTCATGAAATGGAAAGATTCAGTTGAGGCAGACTTGGTGCTGGCAAAAGAGGCAAATATGAAGTGTCCTCAAATTGTAATTGCTTTTTATGAAGAGAGACTAACTTGGCATTGTCCAGAAGATGAAGCTCAATAATTGTTTGTGTTGTTTTTTATATATGTAAAATCTAGGTCTTGGTTTTTGGATTTATTAGTGTGAAGAAATAACATTCTAATGAAAGTCAAGTTTGATATGTTCATTTTGAAGTAGTATTGGGGGAGTTGTTGGGATGTTTTTTGCATCTAGAGCACGGTTAGCTTGAACTTTCCTTTATCAGAAAAGAATATTTGAGACTATGGTATATTATTCTCCTGCATTAGAGAACACCTTTTCTAAATGTTGGGGGAAATCGTCATAATCATTACTCTATCAGAATTTTGTTGAACTTCCATATGCCATTCTGATTTTTTTGTTTGGGGTTTTTTTGTGTTTGTATACATAAAAATACATATGTAAATGGTTTTCTTTTTTTAACATTCACCAAAACAAAAATAGCATTTTATAATCGTGGATAAGCCTGTGTTTCTGGGATGCCGTCATTTTCAGCAACCTAAGAAATCACTTGAAGTTAAATAGAAATTTTTCCTGAAGTCTTAGCCTTTCAAATTTTGCAACTAATTGGACAATTTAAATATAATGTTTACATTATATTTAAATATATATATAAAATATATATATTGCACAATTTAAAAGCAGCTGTATCAGAATCCATATCCCTATCTACAGTCATATAAATGCAAGTTTATTTGCAAGATCACCGAATGGAAAATTTTATCACTACCAACAACCTCCCCACCCAAATGAGAAAACTAGACAAGTCCTGGTGCGTTTTAATTAGGTAAGCAAAACTTACTTAAACTTCAAAGGTTCCTTCTAGTGAACCATTCCTTTTCAAGAAGTTGAAATCCGGGGCGCCTGGGTGGCTCAGTTGTTAAGCATCTGCCCTCAGCTCAGGTCATGATCCTAGGGTCCTGGGATCGAGCCCAGCATCAGGCTCCCTGCTCAGCGGGAAGCCTGCTTCTCCCTCTCCCACTCCCCCTGCTTGTGTTCCCTCTCTCACTGTGTCTCTCTCTGTCAAATAAATAAATAAAATCTTAAAAAAAAGTTGAAATCCTTGTGTTGCATTGATTAAAAGGTCATGATTCATGGAATGTCTAAGACTTTGTTCATGGAAACCTAATCATAATCAGATGGTTAGAGATGTTGACAGTTTAGGACCTACTGGAATAAATGGGTTAACAAACTTCTGTATTCTAAATTCTTTGACTTGCATGTTTTTCTTTACTCCAACTCACCTTAGATGTAGCCTCAGTCTTCTCAGTATTTGAGTTACTAGTTCAACAGAAACCAGGAAAAGCAGTAACTTTGTAGTAATCAGAATGTTATCCAACTGTATATTGTTTATTGTAAATAATGGTAAACAGTGGTCAACAGTTTTTTGGGTTTTTTTGTGGGTTTGTTTTGTTTTGTTTTGTTTACTCAGGCTCCATGCCCAGCATGGAGCCCAGTGTGAGGCTTAAACTCAGGATCCTGAGATCAAGACCTGAGCTGAGATCAAGAGTCAGACACTTAACTGACTGAGCCACCTAGGTGCCCCAATAGATAGTTTTATATTCCTTTAAAATAAATAAAGGGCCCTTGGGAATGAAATTTATAACCTCCTTCTAAGCCATTTCTGTGTTTAGGACTTTGACTGTCAGGACATCTTTCCTTTTACTCAAGTAAAATCCCATTACAAAGACAAAGATATTCCCATACCCTCTTGGAGGCTCTATAGTAATGGTGCTTCTTTGCATTGACTTTGGACTACATTACTACAAATAAACCTATACAGGAAAATGCTTTTTGGGGGCTCTGATTTAGTAGCAACTTGTTTATAATACAAATGTATGGTTTTATGTCTGCTTTGTGTGGGGAAGTAGAGGATAAAACTCTAGAAGAGGTGTGAAAGGTTTGCTTTCATAACCTTTCCTTGTTACTACTAGGTTGTGATCACATGCTAATTTGTCATTAGCAGCATGAAGTGAGCTCTCTTGTTTTCTGGTCCTATGTGATTTCTAGCAATACACCAATTATTTTTAAAAATTCTACTCGAACCAGAGAAATGTGAGGGTTAGTTAAGGGGAGGACAATTAGTGGTGAACTCTGACTTGAATTTAACATGAGTCCCCTTTCTCTTTCCCAGTGTTGGTTAGTCTCCAGGTCCTTTTGATTTTCTAATTTTTCTGAATGTAGCCTAGGAGAAAGTCCTGGTAGATCCTACTGAACTCAGAAGAAACTAGTTAAGCTAAGTCCCTTTAGTAATTAAAAGGTGTGCTGCAAATAACTTAGTAATTAAAGAGGGTGCTGACCAAACATGGCTGGTCAAGTGTGATAATTCACAGTTAACATTTACTTAGCCAGCTTAATTCCAAGGTTGAGCATGAAATCTCTCTTTTTTGAATAGTATTGACTGTATGATCCTGATAATCTTGATCCATGATCAAGATTAAATCATGTTAATCCAATATATCTCTTTTAGGAAGTAAAACGTTATCATCTGGTATACACTTATTGTAGTACCATACTCCTTTCCTTATAACTGAAAAGATATTCTAACTTCATCCCAGCAGATACTATGTGAGCTGCTTAACAGAAACATGTCCATAAGGAAGAAAATCTTACACATTTAATTCTGCCGGGGGGGGGGGGGCACTGCAAAGCATTACGAACAGAAAGCTGAAATTTCATAATAAAGCCATTGTAGATACAGTGTCAAGGTGCCGTTTTAATAATCCAAATTTTAATCATCTTGACCTCACCTGCCACATCATATTTTATTTTCTATTAGCCACACACCTCTGAAATGCTCACTAAGGGGCATTGGTGATAGAAACCACACCTGTCCTGATATGTCTGCACTGCCAGGATTTGATGGATCTTTGTGCAAAGATCTCCATATGGGTGCAGTCTCTCTATGGAACAGACTCTTTATGTGGCTACAGATATGAACTTAATAGCATCTCTTGGCTATGGAGTCATCCTTCTCAAGCAATTTGTTTGCATTTTTGTTGTGTATCACTCTGAAGTAGGGTTTATACTTAAATGTACTTTAGATGCTAAAATAATTCATGTTTGTATCCCTCTAGTTTTATTACCATATGCTGTTCTTTGTAACTTTTCTTTAAGACTACTTGCAAATGTCAGATACAGTGTTTAGAAGGCATCCATCTCCATCTGTATAACAAAGAGTAAGTAAGGATTGGGCATTGTGATTCATCCAGATAATTGAGCATAAGTCAAAACTCCAGTGGGATGGAGAGTAAGACTATAGCCCATGACTTGGATGAAATAGGAACCTTATATAGAAGTGCTCCAATGACATGGACTAGATTTTCCTAGAGAAAGAAGATTTAGTGTTACCTCTATGTTTTTAGAAAGAGTTTGACAATCACAGTTTATGGATTATTCTAGTATGCTTGCTTCTCCCTCTTCCATTGCCCACATTTGGGCTTTTTTTTTTTTTTTTTTACTGTTACTTAAACCTAGGAACAACATTTATATTCAGCAAATATTTTTTTTGAGCAGAAATTTGAGACAAGTTTGTAAAAAAAAAAAGACAATTTTTTCTCCATGTTAATATTTATGAAACCAATTGCTGAAGGGATTTGGGATTATGTCTGACTCCTGGTTCCATACAATTTATATACTATCTGATCTGTTTATCCTCTAATGCGTTTTTATTTTTAAAGTTTACTTCGTCATTAAATATTTGCATTAATTGAAAAATGGAATTTATTATTCAATAACTCTGTGTCTCTTAAAGTTTCTTTCTCCTCTGTTTGTTTTAGGGAAATCAATGACTATTATTTTTAGCCAGCATTGTTCCACCCTGATATAGCATTATAACTAGTGATAGCTGGAATATATCCAATTCCAAATGGACCAGTGTCATTTTTCTGTACAGCAGGAGTGAATAAGATTAACTGTAGATTAGCCAGAAGGAAAATGGCTTTGTGTTTTACCTTTGTAGCAGACTCTTGGAAGGTATTTAATTTGATATTGTTATCTGTAAGAAATAGAATAAAGCAGGATGAAGCATGTACGTTCAAATGTGTAGCTGATGGCATTCTTAAAAGCAGAAAGTGCTAATTTTTTACTTTTAAAAAAATCTGGAAGAGGGCCCCAAATAATACAGGGAAAGAAAAATGATGTCCAAGTAAAATCACATGACTAAGATAATTCCAGTGAAACCCAGGAAGAACCGCATTAGTGATAGTCTGTAAGTATACACAGTACTTTACAATAGGTTGATTGCACTAAACAAAGAAGAAAATCCTTTCTCTGAGGAGTTTACAATCTAAAGATACAAGTTGGTACAGTACAATATAGAATGAGAACAATAAGTGAGCTCCATAGTGGGTGGTCTTCATAGCTGAAATGCTTCAAAAACAAATGCCTTCTTGGAAAGGTAGAGGTTTGAGAGGGAGTGGTCCGGGCGTGCAAAGAAGTGGAAAGCTGTTCTTTGGGGGCTGGGAGGTGAGGGGAAGGAAGGGAGGGTTGGATCGAGTGTCTGAAAAGAGGCTCAATATAAGAACGTGTAAAGAGATCAGACTAACATTGGCATGGTAGAATTTGGTGATTTAAAGAACAAGATGAAATGCCAGTAGAGGAGGATTTAGAGAGAGGGGACAAACAACATACCATACGACTTTCTATTACAGCAAATACCACATCTTTAAAGACCCAGATATGGAGAATGCTGCTTGCAACAGCTTCTTGCCAATGTGAATGGCTTCTACAACAGAATAGTCCGGAATGGTTCCATTGAGATACTGTATGTGAAAGGGCTTTGTAAGCAGCAAAGCAGTACAAATGTAAGTCATCATCATATTCTGCTTAGCTTTGACTTCATTAAATTTTTGTTTGGTAATATATTTTAAGACACAAGGGTTAGCAGTAGAACTTCCTGTTTTCAGAGATGTTGTCAAGAACAGATTTGTTATTTATTTCCCTGTTAGATTATTACAAATGCTCATAGTAAATGTTCCTCAAAGAGTTCTCTCTACTTTCCTTACAGTTGAACTAATATTTATTTTTATATCGGTGAAGATTGTTTTCATCTTCATTCTTGCTCCCTCTCTTGCTACCCAGTCTTTTTTTTTCCACCTCTGTTCATATGGTCATGTATTTTTTTTTTAGTCTCACATATCATTTTATACTCTACCTCATTCTAACAGATTTGAGTTGGTTTATTGAGAAACTAATACAATAATAACAGGATGAACAAATTGACAGAGAAATGAGTGTGAAGGGAAAATAAATGTAAGAAACTGAAATGAGGCCATGGTAAGATTTAGACTGAGTACACAGAATTAGGGATTTTATAGCTGTACCCTAAGTTTGACTCTGAGTGTCTTAGCAGACAGATCAGAGGGAAATATTAGCTATAAGATTTGCAGGGGTCCATGAGGTAAAAATGAACCAATTTCTCAGAAGAAGCAAGCACAGATTTTCTTGAGACCAGGTGATAAATTCCTCCCATGGGTTTTTATGAATGCCAGTTTGGTGAGTTTGGATTTTATCCTGAAGGCACTGGGAAGACAGTGAAAGCTTTTGGTCCAGGGGATGACATACACAAAGCTGTCTTTACAGCAGATATAGGAGAGTTCAAATGAGTTGGGGGAAACTAGATATAAGAAAACCAGTTAGAGATGAGCTCTAAGGGTCTGGACAAGGATGTATCAGAAGGAATGGAAAGTTATAGGAAGGGTTAAAAAGATCGCCAGGGTTATTGCTTAGATATGAATGGAAAGGAAGGAATCAAGGATGCCTATAGGGTTCAGTTCTACCTAGAGTGATGGCATCATAATGCCTGGCAAATATAAGAGAAGGAGCATTATGTTAAATAAGAAAGCACAGAGTGTTTTGAAAAAAGTAAGATAACCACTATGGATTCTTATAGTCCCATTTTGGAGTAAGCAGAACGAAATAAATGGAAAGCTACCATTTTTTAACAGTTTATGTTTTACTAAGTGCTTTTACGTACAGTATCTTATTTGGTCATTATGACAGTCCTGTAAGGGAAGTAGTAAGTATCCACATTTTACAGATAAAAAAAATCTGAGACTTAATGATTAACTGATGCATCTGAAGCCATATGACTAGTAAGTGCCTTGTTTCCCCCTCTCCCCCCACTGTCTGACACCACTTCAAGAAGGCCTTCTGCTTGGAGCTATTCGTGTAATACTAGATGACCAAATCAGGACAAGGTTAGAGTTTTGCCAACATTATGACTCAAGTTTTTGCTTTGCTCTACTATAACTGTTCCACTGGGGATACTTGATATGAATAGAACTGTTTGCCCCTACACTAAATGTCTCCAGACTGCTATGCTTTTTAAATTTCATATCTGCTTTTTATAGTTCTTTAATCTCTTCCACTGCTGTCAGCTGTTACTACTTGATGTATTTGGAAGCTCCCCATTCCTAATCAGTTGTGCCCCTGGAACCAGATAAATATGCTTGTTATTTTTAGACACAATTTTACCAGTGACTATCCATTGAAGACATAAGGAATCCTATTATGATAACCTAACCCTAATGTTATGTTTTGCTATATTTTTATGAGCAAATATACATCTTAATGCTTGATCATTAGAATGTATATTATTGTCTGTCTTCTAGGTTATTGGCTAATTCTGGATAGCTGAAGGTACTGGATAAGTTACCTAGAAAGGTATATATATTTACTGTATAACCTCTGAGCATTACTTTTCAAAAGCAGATGCTATTGGTGACAATAGGGAAATGTAGCAATGCTTTATACACAGGAGGTTGTGTACTTTTGGTGCATAGCAATCTAGTTGCCAAAGGCTTGAAATGACTACCCAATCCCCTTTATGAATGATATGTGGCCACTTCTCTCAGTCCCCAATGCCCTCTGCTAGAAAGGTTACAGACATTCCCTTTTGTTTCCAATAAGTCTTCCCTCCTGAAACAGCTACAGAAGCTTCCAACTAGCCCTCCCCTGGTTCACTTGTCTCTCCCTTTTTCTGTGAGGAAGGTTTTAATAAAGACTTATTGACTACCCACAGGGGCATTGTTCCTATAGGAAGCACTGCACTCCTCAGTGTGAAATCTGTGTCTCCAGCTGGCTGAATAAAGCATTTTGTGACACTTGGTACAGTGTGTGCATAACTCAGATGTGTGGACTGTGGACAGCCTGGGCTTTATGAGTGCCCAGTCCACCTCCAAACACAAATAATGTGTTTTCCAAATCTACTTTTCAAATTAATTTTATTTTTTTAAAATTTTATTATTTGACACACACAGAGAGAGAGAGAGCACAATCAGGCAGAGCAGCAGGCAAAGGGAAAGAGAGAAGCAGGCTTCCCACGGAGCAGAGAGCCCGACATGGGGCTTGATTCCAGGACCCCGGGATCACGACCTGAGCTGAACGCAGACCCTTAAACCCCTGAGCCACCTAGGCACCCCTCAAATTCATTTTAAAGATGATGGACAGTCATAACTAATCAGTACATTCATTAGGCAAACTGACCTGGATGGAAATAATAAAGGACGAAGAGGAAAGGTGATTTCCCTTTATATTCTGAAGGATGAAATTAATAAAAGTTGTTATCCTTAGAACTCAGCAAAGTTAATAACTAAAACTCTTGGCCTTTCAGATGTTGATAGGTAAGATTGTATTCTTCATGGTGTTAGGAAGGGAAAGTGTTTATTTGTTTGCATAGGTACTATGGGACAAAGAAGCTACTTTTATTGTTAGCTGGAAATACCTGCATATCACCTTGTGCCCAGAAAAATGGGAATGATTTTGGATTTGCTGTGGCCTATGGAAAATATAGCTCCACTACTAGCATCTTATGGCTTGAAATTGGGCTTTGGTAGAGAGTTTCTGGATTGATGGTCTTTGGAATCCATGACCATGGATGAGCTTTACAAAGATGATTGGTAGAATACAATTCCTGATGCCCTTACATAAATGCATTTAAGCCATGAAAGTATTTTCTGGAAATAGGCAGGGCATACCAGCCTTCCTGAGAGTGAAGGAGATTTCCTAGAAGCCTTTGAGCTTTAGTGATTGTCCTGCTTTGCAAGCAACCATGTCATTATATCCATTTCTGACTGACCGTTCAGAAGAGAAATTTGCTTTCCATTTTTTTGTTCTTGTGTCTTAAGTATCTATTACAGGAACATACATTTGGTGGGCAATCAAACGTCTCTGATGAGATGTTTATTGGTGAATGAAAAATGTTTTCTGAAGGGAGCAAGTGGTATGCTCTCTAAAGATAATCAGATTTATCAGTTTGAAAATATGACAATGCAACTGAAGTATCTAGATTGAATGGAAAACTATGAATTATCCCTACAGAATGCTGCAGCTGCTCCCTTATGTGACCTCGACTTTGGCAGTATAATGAAAGTAAATTATTAAACGTTTAAAGAGCTTCACTAAATGAAAACAATTAGTGGCTTGATGTGTTATATTTGGACCTAGCACTAGAGAGGCTTCACTGGTTATAGTGCTTGTGAGCACTGAAGCCAGTCCTTGATATTTGAGGTACATTATGCACATTTCCCCAGAGCAGCATGGTTTGGAGTTCTCTGTCTGATGCATCAGTTAGCTTTAGTGCCCTCTGACTAAAAAGGATATGATGATGGGTGATTATCAGGCATAAGATTTAAACCAATGAGATTTGAGGCTCTAGACTTTAATTGCATTTCATCTGTCAACTGCATTGAACTTTCCTTTTGAAAACCAGACTAACATTGACCTGCCAGAGTCTATGGGGAGGCTCAGCTATAATAAATCTTGATTAGGTATCAATAGATACAATAGGGACAAGCAATGAGCTAGCCAGAAAGGGAGAGGTGGGCATAATGGACATTTTTTGAGCTGAGAAGAGGATAATGAGATTAGACCAAAAGAAAATTTGTACTCCTCTTTGTCCTTCCTTTTTGCCACTACCTTGGTCTAGTACCGAACCTTACCTACAAAATCTCTTCTTATCTTGCCTTATTTTTGTTTTCTTACACCACTACCACCCCCATTCATTCCTTGCTCTTGAGACCCTCTGTCTTAGTGGAAATTCCCTATTAATGTATTACCTAATAAGAGAAAGACACCAAAGAAAACTGTTAGTTTTCCTTTTTTTTTTTTGTATTCTTGGAAAATCCTTCCTACTTTTACCCTTGCATCTTTCTTTATTAATGCTACCCAGATAAACCTTTATTAGATAATCTCATCTCCCATATTTTTATAAAGTGACTTTATTATAAATGGCTGGAGCTGAGATCATTGTATTTATCTAAGGAGCAACATTCTCTCTATGGCATCTTGATCACTCTGACATCTTGTCATCTAGGGTGGTATCCCAGAGTATTAACAATCTTATTAATGGTTACTGTGAAATTCTCCAACCAAAATTAATTCAAAGTCACTTTAACTTAAAATGATTTAGATAAGATCTCCCAATCAAATGGTCATAGGCCTAGCACTGCCTAACAATTAGAAATTGGTGCTTTGGAACAATGGTTTTTAAACTATTTTACTTCTGGGGGAAACAAAATTCTATTAACACTCCACCCTAAGGAAAAAAAAAAAAAAAGAATCATTTATCACCAAAGAGCCAAAATTCTGGTCTCCCCTAACTATCCCTCTCCCCCCAAAAAAGTTTTTAAAGGCTGAGAGAATGTAACAATAATGACATAGATAAGAAGGAAACTGAAAAAAAAAAAGGAAACTGGCTTACCCATTCATGCATTCAACAAATATATATTGATAGCCTACTATATACCATCATTGTTCTCTATCTTGTTATCCAAAAGATAATGTTCCCAAGTTTGAAAATAACTATTCTCTAGTGGTGTGTAA